CGCAGGGGAGAGGCCGACGCTCGAGGTGTTCAGACGTCGTCCACGCACAGCAGGGCTGGAGCGCGCATTCCCGCCGACGAGCCTCGCGACGATCCTGCCGGCAGCGCCGTCCGCACTGTCCTGCCGCAGATGCAATTCGGGCGCGAGGTACCGCGGGTTCCCTGTCCGGCTCGACTTGTACGCCTGGCTGGCGGCCTCGACGTAGAGCGACAGCCTGAATTCGGCGATGTCGATCCGGTTGCAGCTCGGATCGCTATTGCTGTCTATCAAGATGTTTCTCTGCAGGACGAGCGTGTCAGTGAGCTGATGACGCGATAGCTCGGAGGAGGAGTCGTACCCCGCGCAAGTCACCGTGAGCGACGCCTTCGTCGTGCATGTACTTGAGCCCCTCCGCTATCTGTCTTAGCTACCCAAGGAATGAGCACAACTTTCGCGACAGACATGTTGGGTACGCACCCATAGACTGAGCTTGGCAACACGTCCCCCCTCGGATAGCCGTCTGTAATCCACTGACGTCTCGATATAGTTCCGTACGTTGCCCCCGGCCATACGTTCAGTGACAATTGAGAGCATGTCGAGATGAAACATGATGCCCAGAGTGGGGAGGAGTCGCTCGTGCTTCAGTGTCCAACCGGCGATAATCTCAAGGTACGTATCCTGGACGGAAAAGTTAGATGCAATTGCACTCTCAGATAGAATCGAAGAGCACACCTCGATGTTGCTGTCATTCAAAGACTTCGTGATACCTTTTATCGCCACCTCAATGTGTCTTCTCCTTCTGTGGCAGTACATGTGCCCGAATGATACGATCGCGGACGAGCCATTGTCCTTCTCACGCACAACCCTCATCGCGTGATTAACAGCAGCGGCCGCATACGGGTCTGGAGGAACGAGTCTGATGTCCCTAGCGTCGATATACAGGCCCGACGGGAGCATCCGCGAGTCCCGCGCGAGCGTCGTCATCAGCCGGCGGGCAGCGCTTCTAAAGTCCGCGTCCTGTGGGTGGTGGCCTGTCTCGTCGATGACCTGGAAGTTTGCCAGCTGGATGAGTACAGAAGAAGCCAACAAGAGTGGAGCGAAGACGTACTGTCTTGTACACATCGAGCACCCGAACCGCGACACGCCCGTATATGCATCCCATGAACTCAATCCAAGGGCCGCTAGGCACACGCACCCGGGCGAACTCCTTCGCGTACTTGTGTGCAAGTTCGATCAAGAAGTCGTTCTCCGGGATAGACATGAGGGCGCGCGGCTCGCAGGTGAATATTCCACGCATTTTTGCGCCAAGGACGAGGAGCTGGAAGAGCAGCGTCTGAAATGCACGCCCGGACGTTTGCGACAGGGTCTCGATGAACGTGTATCCCGTCACTGCGGTAGATGGTGAGCGCAGCAAGTGAGCAGCTGGACCGCCGCGGACGTACGTTTGTAGCAGTTCACAAATCCGAAAACGAGTGCCAAAGATTGGGCGAGGCGCGTTAGAAACTCTTCGGCGAGCGAGGACGCATCCGCCGCGTGGGTTCGCGGATTGTGCCAGTAGTAGATTGCGAAGTGATGCAGTTGCAGCGCGACTTGACGTGCCAAGTCCCAGATGGGATTGTCGTCTGGGACGCGCTTCCAGTCTGGGCTAGTGGTATAGTCGTGTAGAAGGTAGGATAGCGTAGCGTAGGCATACGCGCTTCCGATGCCCTGGCGTCGAACGTAAGGCGCATCATACAACCATAGATAACGTTGCTCGTACTATGGCGGCATACTGAGCTCCGAGCGACTTCTCCACAAATTGCAGGTCTTGGAAGACGGTGATCAGAGATGACACGAGGGCAGAACGGTCTTGATTTTGTTTGAAGGGCGTGAGGTTCACTCCGCCTCGAACTGGAGGGATGTATGGCCGCAGGAGTAGCGTGATGACTCCGATCACATTCGAGCTATGTGGCGCCACTACCTCGAACTCTGTCGGCTGTTCTTTCGCCATGTGTCAGAAGGGGCTCATGCGAGACGAAGGTCAAGCATACCGAAAGAAAGTTGGTGCAGTAGCGCCCGTACCTCTCCGATAAACTCGCCTTTCTTGCTGGATGAATGGCAGAGTATCTGGATCGTAAAAGAGTAGGTTCCTGCTTGGTGTACTCTAAGGTCTGGTAAGAACGTCGAAATAGATCCGCCTTGTTCGTAGCTCACATTGACCTCTCCGGATAGTGCCAGACCGGCTTGGATGTCTTCTCTGTCTGGCAGAACGAGACAGGAACTGGTGGGACTTTGCTGCCTCGATGTCCGTTGAGAATAATTTGAACCGAGTAGCTGCCTTCTTTGTGCAATCGTGCGTGTAGCTCTGACAGGTGTCACTTGCGACGCATAGAGCAAAGGGAAGGTGCTGTGCTCACGAGAGACCGCCACTAACGTGCTACCGCTGATAGTATTGGAGGGCATGGGAAAGCAGATAGGCAGTGCAGAGAGTTCTAGTGGGTTTCTGTATACGCAGATAACAATGATAGAGCTGTAGCGTAGTTCCTTGCCAGTATGAGTATGTGATCCAAGAAACAATGCGACGCTTGAAGGCCTTGACGATGATGGCAACCGCGCCGCCGCAAACGAGGTCTTTCTGAGTTTAGAGTGTGTCAAAATACATAAGGTCCTAAGGCAACAGCGACAAGCTTACCCGAGCTGGAGAGTACAATAACTTCAGCGCATCGCAACCGCGATGCATGCAGAAAGCTTCCGACGACAGGTTGACAGGTTGAAGCGAGGGTGGTGGCCCTTGTTCATCGTCGATATCCAGGATAGGCGATGCGCAGCATCCCCGAGAATTGGACGGTTGCTTTCTTTGCATTTTGTCGAGGCTTCTGGCATGGAATGGGAGGCAGGCGAAGATGTCTCCCGAGCGGCAGGAAACCCGAGAACTTCTCCTCCAAGGCCTCATGGTGGGAGCTGCTCCTTGTCTCCATCACGATGGCGCACAGCAAACATAGTGGGACGCGAGAGAGAAGTAGAGTACAACCAGATATATGTGATTGTGAACCACCTCGTTGTCACCAGCAAGGGAAAGGCAGAGCCCGTCCCGCCAGCGAAGAGCGAAGGCGCTTTGATTCACGATAGCGGGAGCCAGGCCCCCGGACAGTCCACCTTCTAATCTTATCTAATCGTTCCCACCATTAGCCGGAGCGCCGAAGCGCCGAAGCGCCGAAGCCCGCGCTCCTGCAAAGACGTTGCTTTTGTCTTGACCTCAAGCACATACACTCATGTTCGACCTCATCTAGCGGCAAGCTGGAGATTCACGCCAGGGGAAGTATATCTCGGTCGTTGAAATAGCCCCGAGGCTTTGCAATGTCTTCGTACTCTCTCTTCGATGACGGCGAGTCTAAAGGGGCCAGCCACAGTGCCGAAGTGTGCCCGTGGGGGAGAGGTCTATCTCTTGCGTTGCGTGTAACCGACGCGGACAGTACCTCGGTCTGATGGCAGGTGGTAGCCTGATGCCATGTTGTAAGATGGTTTACACCAGACGAGAAAGAACTTGACATATTCGAAGGTGGACAAATTCAGTGGCCCCTCACGGCCTGGTGCGTTGGTGGCCAACAATAACTGGAAACACTGTATTGTCAAGGAGAATTTGACGAAAAGTAGACCAGCCTAAGACCAGGACTGCCGAAGCGGAGAACTGAAAGAGCAGCCCGCCACACGACGGGAACTGTTTGCCGATCACTTGATCCGCCAGCACATTGGCCCACATTGTGAGGGATTGTTTATAATACTGTTTGGCTCTGTGTGCATTATTAGATAAGCAATTCCCAGGCGCTCGTGTCAAAGCAAAGCCCAGCGCTCCGTCCATCCTTGACCGCATCACCTTATAGGCGGTTGGACGCAGAATAGTAAGGGTGTGAGAATGCGTGAGCATGCCGGACCCGGGATGGCATCATTAATTCGGTATGTAGACAAGCCTCGCATTGAGAAAGGCGCCGATATTCCTAAAAACACAAGAGCAAGGACTAGCAGGTACATCAAAACATGGAATCGAGCTGCTGCTCGTGACGGACGGAATACATCTCGCTCAGTGTCTTCAGCAAAGTTACCTGTGCTCTGGAAACCTTAAACGAGAGCTCTGCCTCCACTACAGTAGCTCTAGAAGTGCCCGGTCCAATTGCATCCTGAAGACGCTCCGAGACAGTCGGCGGATTGACCAGCAAGTCATGAGAGGAGGCCCTCAAACACGTCTCGCATCTAACGTAGCAGAAACTCAATATTAGCGCGACGATCGTGCGACGGACCTGAGCGAACAACATACGCGACGAGTTCTAGGGCGATCCTGTCCAGCTCCTTTGAGGTGCGAGCATCAAGCGGTCCTTTCTGGACCTCGTTGATATGATCGAGGCTCGAACGGAGCTTGCCGCATATGTCCTCAAAATTGTTATCGGACGCAGTGGCGCTTTGAGAGAGATTGGAAACAAGGGTTGCCGTTGCGCCCAAGACGGAGACGATGATGAGAGCAGGGGGGATAGTGATGGCCACATTAGAGACTAGAGCGTCGAGCGACATGTTTGTACGACTGATCATAGCGGTCAGCTTCGGTTGGTATAAAAAGACGATTTTGTCTCATACGGACCTTGATACGATGTAGTGGTAACGATATCTTGGGAGAATAGTATGGGAAGACTCGAGGAATATATTGCCCCAACTGTCCTGCAGTACGCGTCCACATATACGTCAGGGCATCTGGAGAGCGGTGCGCGGTGATACAATGTTGTTAAGAAAAGAACACGCCACTCCATGCGAGATGCATGAGTTCCAGCGATATCCTTGTCAGAATCTATGCGCGAAAAAATGCACCGACCGCGGACCTGAACCCTCATCACTTTCAGCTGTTCGTCACTGCACTGTGGTTCTGAGGACTCACTGTCTTTCGAAGTGCGCCCCGCTGTAGAATATAAGGATGGACCGTGACATCGCGGAGTCGTCGCAGTGAGCTGAAATGACTGTGATGGACGTTGCCAAGATGCTAGTGAACGAATGTTCACGCAGAGAACAAGGCTGGCACCGCTGGGCTGCTGGCACGAAGAACGACTCTCAATGTCGAACGCATCATCATGGTGGTACTCATCAGATAAGCCGAGACAGCGCGTGAATTTCAAAGCCGAACTCGAAGTCTCGTCGGCGTCGCCCGACATGCTCTGGCCGGTCTGTTATCGAACAACGCAGGTTGTTTCATTACTCATTACTCAGTACTCAACGTTAAACGTTTCAACCGCGGCCGCATGCCCGTCACCCAAATATGGATATGTTACATGGTGTGACGGCTCGTATCGTGCCCCATTCAGCTACATGCCCGGCAACGCGCAGGAAGTCCAGCGGTTACCGCAAAGCTGGGCCGCCCTTGCCCCACGGGGCACCACCAATTGTCTCCGCAGCGCGACGGTTCTCACCGAGACCCTGGTAACAGCCACGAACGCACCCTGACCCCTGTCCGCACTGCCGTCTTCACTACTGACGCTTCCTCACCTCGATCGGCCCGTGCGCGGGTACCTGCCGCAGCGCCCTCTGCACTGACCTGTTATCTCTGGCGAGCAGGGCCCGAGCTCGATCACGGGCGCTGATGCACTGCGTTGGGCATCACTCATTGTCGGCAGCACACCCGCGCAGTGCGCGTGTTCAAATTGCAACGTGCGATTGTTCTCGCGGCGTGTACATGCGCGCGGCTCTCTGGCGGACTAAAGGGTCCGTCGTCCTGGCTGGTGGGCGGCGGCTTTCCAGTTCGGTTCTTTGATCGCGCAGCGAGGAACTTGAACAT